AATGTAATAAAGAAAATGGGGCCAGATTTAGAGGGGCAAATGGAAGGGAAGCCAGGTCTGACTAGCAAAAGCCAAATCCGAAGCAATTCAAACCAGAGCTGTAAGTTACAAACAGTTCTGAGGAGCTGCAGCCGGGCTAAAGCCAGACTCTCTGGGAGCCAGAGTGCTAGTGAGAGGTGACTAGGGGAAGAGGACAGCTGTCCCGAGAAGGCTGTGTACTTTAAAGAGCTTCTATTTTTTACTTTATCCATGACTTTAGTAGTAAATGTCAGCACTAATCTGCCTTTTGTTTCTTCATTTCTCCATTTTTGAAACCAAGAGACATGGCCACCTGGAGAGGACACAAAGAACTAAAATCAGAGGTTTGGCATACATGACTTTCATGAAAAGCTAGTTTATCCACAAATTCCAATAACATAGCTGTCCCCATAATATTCCAGGATTCTGTTAGTAGTCTCTCACTTGTTGTACCCATTACAAATTTCACCGAAGAATAAATGGTGTTAAATACATCACTACACTATTACATGGGAAGAAACATGTCATAATTACCCAAGGGAAGACAAGTCAATTGTCTTTGTTATGTTTTAATGTAAAAGTGTGCTAGCCTAGCATAATGGCACTGTGATCCCAGCTACTCCTGAAGCAGGAGAATCACAAGTTTGAGGTCAGCCCTGGCAGTTTGGCAGGAGCCTGTCTCAAAATCAGAAAATAAACCGAAAGGACTCAGGATGCAGCCCAGTGCTCCCCGGGCTCAGTCCCTGGTAAGGAGCCTGGGTGGACATGGCTCCTCTACAAGATAGCTGAAGTTTACACTCAATTGAAGGCAAGCGAGTATCCCCATACCCTGAAAGAGCTTTCACATGTGCTGGAAGGCTCTTGCCAGGCTCCTCAGGTTCCTACAGGAACGTCCTACTCTTGCTGTTCACGGAAAGCACCAGGGAACAGATGCATTACAGTTTGTGACAGGAGAACAGCCTGTGGATTCCGCCTACTCCCTCCAGTCCATCTGGGAGGTGGGTGAGACCGGGTGCCCACAGAGAGGGGGGCTCTCCTGGGAATCCCTCAGGGTACCGTGGCTATTGGTGCTTTATTTTCAGTAGATGGCACTGTGTCTATGGAGATAAGTGAAAGAAGAGCCTAGATGGGAAATCTAATTGTTTCTAGAGAAAGTGCTCTGCATATGAGTATGCATGGTATTTTTTTTACTTAGTAACACAATAACAGAAATAGTATTTAGTATTCATGTTAGCACTCTCTTTGGTGCTCAAGGAACTTTATGATTTATTACGCTGGCTCAGACTCAGGCTGTGGTGGAACCTAGGGCCATCCTATGAGGGATACAGTTGGGATAAGAATAAATCACTCTAAATGTTCACCTACTTTATTACCCAACACATACAGCAGCACCTGTACCCCATCTGTGAGCCTGGATCCCCACCCTCCATGCCAAACGAGAAGCTGTGGTACCTCAGTTTATGCACAGCAAACAGGAACCCTCACACCTGAGAGACAAGGCAACAAGAACAGCTTCTTACACACTAGTGGTCCTGTGTAGCAGACACTGGCAACTGTACATCTGTCTTTTCCTCCTTCCTAATAGACATCCAATTACTTTTCCCTTTTCTGAGTATTTGCAGGAAAGTAAAATCCAGCACTAGAAGATTAGTCTACTTCATTTTAGGGCTCTTATAACCATTTAAATGTGAGGAAAGAATTTCAAATTTGCTTCTTTAAAAATTATCAGTAAGCATAGAATGGAGGGTAGAGTTGATGTGAGCCAAGCATCATGTTATGTACACAATGCAATACTCTCTCTTTTATTCTTTTCAATAATCTTGCAATAAATAGTATGCTACCTCTTTTACAGATGAGAAAACTGCAGCTCAGAAAGCTTAAACTATCTAAAATTATCTTTGTTATTGACTGGCCGTATGATAACATTCTAATCATTTGAGAAGTCTACTGTGAGGTGTCTGGGAAAGGTAGCTGCCTAAAGGAACTTCTAATTTCTGCTCCCTTGTCTCTTTTCCCTTCTAATATGACCCCTAAAACTGCAGCAGTCATCTTGAGACGTTACAAGAACCAAACTAAGAGGAGAAGAGAAGAACCTAAGGAAGGCAGAGCAGAATGAGAGGAAGAACCTGGGCTCTTGATGATGCCATTGAGCGGCTGAATTAACCAACCCTTGAAGTTCAGGTTTATGACGTAGCCTCTTTGAGACATGTCTTCTGTTACATGTAGTCAAAAACAGCCTAACTAATATGACCTACAGACCCACTATCCACAGGTGAATAGAAAGATTTGTGCATTCATTAGAGGCAGCCATTCATACCCCGGATGCTGGCACAGTAGCAGGTAAAGGTTTGCCCATCATGGAATCTCCACCGGATCACACCTAATCTTCCCAGTCAGATCCATCCTGGAGTCATGTGAATAAGACATTTTCTCCCATCTCTGCAGGAAACTCACTCCATCATTTAACCCATCTCTTTTCTGTTTCTTTAATGTTTTCTGCTTGTGCTAGCACCTGCTCATGTACTATTTAAGTTTTTCATACTAAAAACTAACAAAATATTACTTGTTAAATAAAAGTACTATAGTTTGAAAGTGGTTTGATTGTACAGTTGTGTCCATCAGGGTTCATTGTGATTGAAGACTTAGTCTCCAGGGTAGTGCTATTGGGAAGGGATAAAAATTCTGGGAAATGGAGCCTCATGGGAATTTCTTAGGTCACCAAGGGCATGTCTTTAGGCTTGAATTTAAAGAAGCAGGAAGAAATTTGGCAATAGCTGAAAGAGCTGCATGTCTTGTTTGACCAAACAAGTTAAGCTAACAAATAAAATATGTGTACAAGATGTTACTACACCTTACAGTCCTCCACTAACCTTCAGCCCCTTCACTTACCATCTTTCACACATCCTGCAAAAATATCTGTTGTGGCTAACTCTAACTCAAAACCATAAAGAAAAGATAATTATAGGAAATATAATTCCCACACAGCTAACTTGAAATGGTACAAAACCACCACTGAAATGCTGGTTTTATTCAAGAATAAAGGCAAAAAAGACAAATGCCAGGGACAGATTTACATGGGAATGTAGGAGACACTAAAGGAAAACTAGCTATATGCAGACAAGTAAAACTAGATGTTTATGTAACACAATGGAAAAGGATGGATTCTAGGTAGGTTTAAGGAGATGAAAGTTATGACTATAAACTAGTAAACTAAGAAAAGAGAACATCTCTGTGATCTAAATCTAGAGAAGGATTACTTATACAAAATGTCAGAAGCAGAAACCATAACTAAATGGGGGTATATTATGGTTTATATTTAGGTGCTCTGCCAAGCCTCATGTGGTCATAGATGGGGCTTTGGGGAGGTAACTGGATCAAGGGTATGTGATTCTCATCACTGGATTAGCCCACTGATGGGTTTATAGCTGAGTGTGATGTTAGAAGGTAAAGCCTGGTGGAAAGAGGTAGGTCAATGTGGACATAGCCTAGCACATTATATATCCCTCCTCGTCCTTTGATCTCTGTCTGCTTCTTGACTGCTATGCCATGAGAAATCCTCTTCTTGTATGGCCCTCTGCCTTGGAATTAGCTGACTACAGACTGAGACCTCTAGAAATTGTGAGCCAAAATAAATCTTTCCTCCTTTAACTAGTGGTGTCAGGTATTTTGTCCAAGCAAAGATAAGGTAGCTAAGACAGGGCAGGGGGAAGTAAATTAATTTGATTATATCTAAATTGAGGCTTTCTGTTGAGTAAAGGATATTTTATACAAGATAGTAGATGGATGACCAAATATGAAGTCTACAGTTGATAAGCAGTTAGTATCTGGTATTGGCATAATTTTTAGCTAACTGTCCCCCAAAAGCCTCAGTGCACTTATAGGTGCGGCTTTTCATAGTTGGCTGGATCTAGGGTGTGTAATACTGGGATTAAGGGTATATGGTAGAATTAGTCCGCTGCTTGGAATTTGCATAATTCTGGATGAGGCTGAATGGATTTACTGAAAACAGAAGCCCCATCCTGGGTATGGGAGGTAACACCCAAAAGATTTATAGCCTCAGTGGGATAAAAGAGAAAGAGAGGCTTGCTGCTACTTCACTGCCTGCTGCTTTTGCTGCTGTTGCCTGCCACACCATGAACTGCTTCTCCTCTGCAATGTTCCTCTTCCATGCACCTTGCCTTGGATCCAACCAATTATAGACTGAAGCCTCTACAACCAGTTATAGACTGAAGCCTCTACAAATCGTGAGCTGAACTAAACCTCTTATCCTTTAACTTGTGAGTTTTGGGTATTTTTTCCCAGCAATGAGAAAAGTAACTAAGATAAGTATAGATAAGAACAGTTATAAATCAAAATGTAAAGATGACAAGCTCAGTGGAAAAGTAGACAATGAATGTCATCATAGTATGTTTTTCCCCTAAAACAGTAAGGCAAATCTATGGCATGTGGGCCGTTTCTTATCACTGAAAGCTCTGACAGGTTTGCCATCATTGACCTAAGATATAGTCTAATGCTAAGGCTTGTGTGTTATTGTATCATTATGGAGTTTAAACCTACAGGATAGGAGCAGGGGAAAATGAGGAAGAAAAAAAGAGAACAAGAAAGAGAAACTATTTATTATTCATTTATTTCATTTTAAAAAGAAAAAAACAATAACAAAATAATAACAAAGACAAAAACAAGACAACACAAAAAGAATAAAAGCAATACAGAATTTCTAAACAAGATGGTAGGAATTCAACAGTAGTTGTTGTTTTACATATTATTATCTTCAATGAAGTTGCTCAGATTACCAGATGTAAGAGTGCAAGATTGATCAAACAATTAAAGAGAATACAAAATAATTTTAAAAAACATCAGAAATGATACAAAAAAAAAAAGAAATGATACAGAGCTTCACTAAACAAGATGGAAGGAATTCAACAATGATTGTTATATTGCATATTGGCGTCTTCAAATTAGTTGTTCAGATTACCAGACATAAACATGCAAAATTGGTCCAAAAAATTTAAGCATTAACTGTTCCTTTCAATAAACCAATAGACATCAGGGGTACATTTGTCCCAGCTATCCCTGTATATACATCTTTAAACATATATAGATACAAAGTTTTCTATTTTATGCAGTGAATTACTACCCTTCATACTTAATATTCATGCTAAAACTTTCCCTAATTTTGCCAGCAAGCACTCTGTAAGAGGGCTTCTATTTTCCTTCAACATGTCTTCAACATCTTTGAGCATAGCTAAGAGGTAACCTTCGATGGGTCTCTCATGTTTCTGCACCTATTACAAGCAGAGACAAGAAGAGTTGTTTGTTCTAGATCATCTTCTTAAGGACGTTTGCATATCAAAGACCTTTGAAATGTAGACATGGTAATTCCTTCTAGACCAGCAGTCAGGCAGTTTGCCTGTGACCCATTGTAAAAGTTCAGCTTCCCTGAACTGAGTTCCTCAGTGGTGTCCACTTTTCCGCTGAGCTCACTATCCTTTGGGTCTTGATTCATAATTGCTCTCTATCTACACTAGAAAGTAATGTCTGTGGTACAGACTCACTCGTGTACAGCGTCAACCTCTGCCATGCACCATGGGGCTGGAAGCTGAGGGGACTGACACAAACATGAATTCCTGCGGCTTGTTTGCCATGACTAACAAAGTCCTTCCTATCTATCCAGGAGTTTCATCTCTTCCATGGGCAAAGAAATAATTGCAGGCTCATTTGTCAGTAGAGTACACTCTCTAATGCTTGACAAATTTTAACAAACACTTGATTTCTAGAACAAGATGTTTTATGACTATCTTATACTTTCGTTGTCTGGCCCTAGAATCAGCCATTTCTTCAATGAGTCCTAGGTTCTTTGAGTGAATAATGATATTTAAAAGCCATTTAAAAGCCACATCTGAATATTAAATGTGCTCCTTACTATTAAAATGTCACTGTTTCCGGTTCTTAGTGGATACATCTAGCTACACAGACACACACACACACACACACACACACACACACATCACACATCACACAAAAACAGAGAGACAGAGAGCTTTATCTGCTTTTTAAATTTCTATTTACATTTATTTAAAATCAAAAATTAACATCAGTGCCTCCAACACTAGTCCAAGATTACATTGATTCTAATTTTCTCCTTTTCTGTGTTCATAACTACCTGCTCCAACAGTGAAGAAACTGGCTTTAGTATCTTATCAATATTTGCCTAACTAATTTTCCTATGTTAGTAATCTAACTCTGCATACTCTTCCTTCTGCATACCTGCTTTCCTTTTCCTGATCTGCTTGATACTGTACTCCACACTGGTACACATAGGAGATGCCTTCCTCACACCCATAAAACAGGCTAGAAGTGGTGTTCCACAGTGCATTCTCCAAAGGCAGACTCCAAGATGGAGTCCAGTTAAGAATATTTGTTAGGAATCCGGCTGTGGAACTAAAGACAAGATAGTATGATTGGGCAAAGGGGGAAGTTGAACTATTGCACTGTCCTGGAAAATTCTTGACAAATCCCACTGGAGCTCTGGAATAAAAAAGGACAATTGTAATAGACTTAATGTTTGTGTCCATCCAAAATTCATATTTACAGGGAGATCTTTAAGAGGTCATGACAGTGTGTCCTCATAAATGGAATTCATACCCTTGTAAGAAGAGGCCAGAGTGGTAGCATGCTTTCTCTTCTGCCATGTCAGGATACAGGGAAAATTCAGTAATCTGAAACCTAGAACAGGGCTCTCACCAGATCCCGATCATACTGGCATCCTGATCTGGCTTCTAGCCTCCCTATCTGTGAGAAAAAATTTTCTGTTATTTGTCAATTACCCAATCTATGGTAATTTGTTATAGCAGCCCAGCCTGACTAAGACAAGAGTTAAAGTTGCTGTATAGCAATCCAAATGGGCTGGGCCTTTATATTCCCAGAGTCACTGATGTAAACCAACCTGGAAAGGGTGTGTCCTTGGGCAAAGCAGCTGTCTGCAGCTCCCTGGAGGATCTGACAGATGCACAACAAGTCCTCTCTTGAAAAGGCTCTACATGACTCATGTTCACAGCCGCCACAACCCACTCTTCACGTCCCTTAGCTACATTTCTTTGCATATGTTTGGAGAGCCATTCTTCCAGGATTCTGATGTACCTCTTTCCCAGAAAGAAAATTTCAAAAAGTTGAGCAAGGTACTCTATGCCTTTAATCCTAGCTATTCAAAAGGCTGAGGCATGAGGATCATAATTTCAGAGCAACATGGACAACTTAGTGATGTGCTGTCTTAAAATAAGATTTATTTAAAAAGGGTTGGGGATACAGCTTAGTGGTAGAGTACCTACCTGTCATGAATGAGGCCCTGGCTTCAACCTACAATAATGAATGAATGAACGACTGAATATATGTAAATAAATAAATATATTCATTTATTTGTTTTAAAAAAGAAAAATTACAGCCCCCTCCACTATTGCTGGTCTCAGGACCTGACTAATATACGTCATCGATCATCTTTTTCTCCACTATCTGTTCTAGATTCCTTTACCTCAGCACTACTTGTGTTGGTTTTGGTAACTCACCAAGGCCCTCATTCATACCTGAGGATGAGACACCGTGCCTTTTTCAGGCCAGGGCTGCTGACTTGTCCATTTACCATCACAAGTGAGCAAAGGAATTAAAATAAAAAGCTCTTACACGCATGAACTGGCTGCCACATGTCTGTTCCCCGCCTCCATTATGTAAGAGCTGCTCTGCCGCCACCTGAAGGTGAGGATCCACACTCTGTGCCCAGATGGTAACTCCCCTCCTTCCAGGGACACAGTGAAGATTAAATGACATGTGTTATCTATGTCTCTATGGGACACTTGGCTGCCTTTGTAAAAGTGGGCTTCCTAGGATAGCTGAGACCTCTGCCCCTAGAGAGCCTGGAGTTAGGGAAGAGAAAGCACAAAGTCCCCTGTGCATCACTGGAAGAGACCCTGCTATGTGGATCACTCATTCTTCCACCCCTTGGTTCCTGGAACAATGGATTATTCAAATTGGGGGTACAACATCACATAATGTTTTTATTAGCTCTTCTAGAAGATGCCAGCGACCTCTACTGATGCCCAGTAACATGACACCTACCGTGGAGGATGGAGCTCTTGTTCCTACAATGTTGCCTGTAAGCTGGCATTCATTCAGCTGTCTTCAGTTGGCCATGTCAGTGCTCGATCAGGCTTCTGGCTTCTGAGTGGTATATGTGAGATGACCAGCAGACCCAGTAGTCATAGGACCATTCTGGTTCCCTTTTGCAGACTCCCTGTTCCAACACACTGTTATACAGAATTCTCTCCCACTGATGAAACATTCCATAAGTCCTTGGATAATGATGGTGACTGAGGCCTCATAGGCAGGGAAAACAAACCTACTCCAGAAGATGTGTTTATCCTTATTAGAATAAGCCTCTAGCTTTTGCAGGTGAAGTGAGTCTCCACATAGTTAATTTGCAACCTAAATATTTCCTTGAGAACAAGGCTATATCAGAGCCAAGCACTGATATCTACTGCTGGCAAGTGGCCAGTCAATGGTAGCAATAGGTTCGGTAGGTAGAACACGTGCTGCTGAACCCATGCATAGAGCCCATTTCTCCTACCACAGCCACTCCAGTTACCTACCAACCAAGCCTGAGCTGGTGTGCTAATGGCAGAGACTGAAGCAGTAGTCTCAGCTACTTGGTTGTTATATCTTCCTCCATGGTTAGTGCTCTCTACTGGGTATTTATATGTGATACAAAGATTTCTCACTTCTTTTCTTTTCTCACTTATTCAAACACCTCCCTCTCTCATTCTTTCAATTTTACTGTTTCGTAAAGAGTGAGTCTGTATTTATGCTAACATCAGGCCATTTATCCCGTTTCACAAATTGAATACCCAGGTGAATCTTCCCGAACATTTCATTAGGAAGATTTCTCCTTGCAACAGCAAGCAGAAACACCCAAATGACACCCACAATTTAGAGGCAGATTTATTGTACATTGGCGGGCACTCACAGGAAATCAATTGTCCTTCAAAATGTCAAGTCCTGAAGGCCCAGAGAGGGAGGTTCTTATGGGGTTGCAAGCAAGAGACTGAGTATTTGGCCATCTTTGATTGGTTCTTACAATATGTGTCATAGCGACCAGCCATGCATCACAGTGACCAACCATTTCTAGGAGACAGAAGCAACTGGAACTTCAACACGAACTGTTACCTGGGCAACTTGCAAACTAACTGGGGGACATTTTCTGTTACACCCTCACTACTGTCTTTCAAAGCCACATACAGTACAGTTGTTTCCATTTTTAAGCACCTATACCCTAAACTGCTCTATTTGTAAACCATGCTTGGATTTTGTTTTTCATCAACTTATCAGAAGAGAGTTTCACCGCTGTCATAGTGAGGGGGCACAGAGGGCCTGGTGCACAATGGCAGAAGTCACAGGTATCTGGGCTGCATGCCTATTTTGCCTTTTTTTTCTTTATTTCTTTTTTGCTCTCTAGTCCTTCTCTTGCTTGGAGCTCATGCTTTTTTTCCTTCCAATAAGCAGCTAAAGGACTCAAGTAACACTATGGCTTTGGGGCTCTGTAGGAGCCCAACTCATAATGGACAGTTCTGAAAGAGTGATCATTTGGTGACCAAAGCCCAGCAGTGTGCCAAGAGTTTTGTGCTTTTTAGGTATATGATTCTGCTTGCTGCAGAGTCTTAGGAGCCTGCACTGTGACTTTCTTGCTGTGGCTTGTCACAAGGCCCATTGCCACAGCACATCTTCTCCTACCACTGATGCCTCTAAAACCACAGGACCTGCACGGTATTATTGCCGAAACAGCAGGGCTGCTTGAACTGTAGCTTGCATTTGCTGCAGAACTTTCTTGCAGTGAGACCTTCTCACTGCTGCCAATATTTCTTATCACCTGACACATGGACTAGAGAAATAGTCCCTAGTGCAGAATATGCTCTCTAGAATTAAGGATGCTGGGAATAAGGTTCCTTCTTTACAGAGGAAGATAAAAGGTGTGATAACTGTCTTTTACTTTGAAAAGTATGCCCTGATACACTTCTGACTACATCACTCTTAAATTTTTACTTACATGTCAGACTCCTGGTTCTTTTTCTCATCTCCTGTAGCAAACATGCCTTAGTAAGTCCTCTAGTGCAGCAACCTCTTCTTATTCACTAGCCCCAGTTAACAGGATATTATTGATGTGGTGGGTCATGGTCAGTTTCTGTGGGATACACTGATGGCCCAAGATCTCGTATTACATTATTATCAGGAGCAGAGGAATTAACATAGCTTTAGGACAAAACTGTATATGCATATTGCAACTCATTCCATGTAAATAAAAACTCTTCCTGATCTTATTTTTTCATTGAAATATTTTAAAAAATACTTTTGTAGCTAAGCATGATGTCACATGCCTGTAATCCCAGCATTTGGAAGGCTGAAGCAGGAGGACTGCCTGCAAGTTCAAGGCCAGCCTGAAATACAAACCAAGACCCTTTCTCAAAAAAAAAACAAAGAAAAAATGCATGTACTCAAAACCATAATAATCCCTAGAATTTATACAAGTAGTGAGTTCATTACATCTCTCTGGATCCTTCACAAGTACTGAATCTTATCTTTAGGGAGAATATCCGGATCAATAAACTCACCCAGTATATATTCCTAGCCTGCTTGATGGTGTATCCTCAGAATCCAATCCTAGTAACATTTCCCTATCTCCCGTGAATACAGCCAGGTTAAGTTGTGCAACTCCTCTGGATAGAACATCTGTCCCTCCTCATCAAATGCCCACGTGTCCTCAACTGTATTGTGCTAGAATCCGTGGAGGTCTAGCGTCTGGAACGAGGGATGAAAGCAGATCGTGAGAAATGCAAGTGTGGCCTTAGAAGGAAAGGCTTCCCACTGTCTTCAAGCAAGGAGGGCATGCTGGCTCTCAGGGGAGAGGGCTGACCACTTCTGCAGACTGGGCTGTGCTGAGAGGCCTGAGGTTCCAAATAGTGAATGACACCCACTTCAGTGTCCCCATCTCAAGGGGGCGTGTTTTCCCTCACATTGGCTCTAATCTTGACGGAACAGGGTTGCTTTGATTTGCCATGCAATCTCCCCACGATTGTTACGCTTTTTAAATATTTATTTACTTTGGTGACTTGGGGACAGGATCTCTGCTATATAGGTCAGACTGGCCTCAAACTCACAGCAATCCTCAGGCCTCAGCCTCCTAATTGGGATTACAGGTGTGCTCCACCACACTCAGCCTTGTTATGCTTTTTTTCTTTTTAAAGAGAGTAGTAAAAGGGAAAAAAAGAACAATAGCAGCATAGTGTTATGCTTTTTAAAAGCCCTCTGTGCCTACCAGGCCTGGTGGCACATGCCTACAGTCCTTGCACTTTGAGGCTGAGGCAGGAGGATTTCCACAAGTTTGAGGCCGGCCTGGGCTACAGTGTGATTTCAAGGCCAGCCTAGAATACAGAGAGACCCTGTTTCAAAGGTCAAAAAATAAAAGCTCTCTGTGTCTGTATATGTAAAAATGCTCACATGTACATGTAAATACACAATGAAATGCACTTATAGAAACATCTAGAGGGAAACATCAGTGCTGGGAATGGAACCTAGGGTGCTGGGCACATTTTCAACACTGGTTCAGTTCATGGAAGGCGTGGATGTGAAGACTTCTAGAGAAGGACCTATGGGGCTGGGGATTTAGCTCAGGGGCTGGGGATTTAGCTCAGCGTCAAAGCGCCTGCCTGGCAAGCACAAGTCGTGAGTTCAATTCCTGGTACTGGAAGAAAAACAAACAAACAAACAAACAAACAAAAAAAGAAAGAGGACCTAAATTATTTGTTACATATTTTTTCTTGTCTCCATTTTTCTCACAAATATATGTATAACATTTCTAAGCATCAGAAAAAGTAAAAGGATCGTTATGTTAGTCAGAGAGAATTGGAATGGGAAGCATGTCCTTGACGTGAGATCTGACCTCAACCCATCCTGAGGGGAGAGAGAATCAGTGAAGATCACTGGGAGCTTGTGCAGTGAGCCACCCGCCCTGCCCAGGACAAGGTGGAGGGAGGAGGGGAGCTCACTGTCTGTAGTCATCCGCACTCTTCCAGTCCTCCTTTAGAAGGAGCTTTAACAGCTTCAGAGTTGCAGGTCTGAACCAGGGGCAATGCGAGCTGAGCAGAAGCATAGTACATGAACCTGGGTGCCTTCCAAAGACAGTGATTCAGGGAGGGGCTGTCCTGTGAGCAGCACCCCAGGAGGAGGCAAAACTATACAGCAACAGCTCTTCTTGGCTTTTTGGAACATTAGCACCATAGGAAAGAATACACCATAGAAATGAAATTATTTCTGTCTGCTACAGCAGTTGGTAACACAGATTTTCAGTATGTTTGAAACAATTATTTAGGATGATGTATTAGTTTCTTATGGCTGCTCTAACAAAATACCACAGACTCAGTGTCTTAGTTACTTTTCTCCTTGCTGAGACAAAATAACCGACACCCATGTTTAAAGAGGAAAGGTATATTCAGATCACAGTTTGCAGAGGTTTCAGTCCCTAATTGGCTGGCTCCAAGGCAGGGTTGGTTTCACAGAAGAGAGAGATTCATGGCAGGCATAAGATAGCAAAAGCAACAGGGAGAGCAAACCTCTTTCTTTCCCTTATAAGGTATGCAGACTACCTGCCCTAGGGCAGATATAGCACTCACACCCTTAATCCCAGCACTGGACCATGAATCAATCACAAATCTAGAAAAGCTCCCCCCACACACTCCCATGACTATATGAGGCTTTGTGGGGTCATCTAGATACAAACCATACACTCAGGGACTTCAAACAACAGAAATTATTCTCTCATAGAGCTCAAGGCCAGAAATTCAAAATCATTTTTACTAGACAGAAATCAGTGTATTAGGATTGTACTGTTCTCTCAGGAAGCTCTTAGGGAGAATTTAGTGCTTGACCCTTCCAGTTTCTGGTGGCCAGCAATATTGCTCGATCTGTGGCCACATCACTCTAATCTTACTTCTGTGTTCAGTCCTCTACTTTTCTGCATGCAGTGAGATCTCCCTTTGTCTCCCTTCTCTGGAGATACTCATGATTACTCTTAGGGCTTACAGAGTCACATCTGCAGGAATCCTTTTCCATATTAGTTAATATGTATAAACTCCAGAGATTGAGATCTGTCTACTTATTTCTTGTTGTTGTAACAGAACACCTGAGATTGGGTAACTGTAAGGAAAAAGTTTATTTTGGTTCACAGTTCTGGAGGCCAAAAGTTCAAAACTGGGTGGCTGCATCTGGTAAGGGTTTTGTTCTTTGTCATCACATAAGCAGAAGAGACAAAACACAAGGGTGGCTTCACTTTATAATAAACCATTCTTGAAATAACCAATTTAATTCCTCAGAGTGAGACCATCCTCAAGGAAGGCATTAATCCCTGGTAACACCCTGTGCAGCTCTCAAAGGTCCCACCTCCCAACATTGGCAATTAAATTTCAAGATAAATTATTACAGCAATCAAATTTCAAGATGAGTTTCAGAAAGAACAAGCCAAGCTCAAACCATACCAGGACCTGACCTCCTGAGGGGCATCACTCACCATTCTACTAACAGACTGTTGTTGAACATGTGGCAACGTGAAATTAAATTTAGATGTTCTGATTTTTCAAAGACCTGCCTGCTTCTAAAAACCCCACAATGAGAAACAATGGGAGTTTCATAAATCTACCTATCAGAAGAGAGTTACTATAATGTGCTAAGTGAAAATGGTATATAAAATAGGTGACTAATGAAAATAGTAATTTCAACCTCAAGCTCTGCTCACCCCAGCCTAGTGGAACAAAATTTTGCCATCTGATTCTAAACCTTGCTGAAAGCATAGGAGTAGATGAAAGACAACTCTACATAGCTGACTTCTCAGTAACAAATGGGGATTTATTTGTTTAACCATGTAGGATTTACTGAGTAAGAAGCCAAACTGTAGTCATAATTCTAGCTAACATCGATTAAACATTTATTTAATTCCCAGTAATGTGTCAGTTTCCTCACCTATATTGTCTTATTTACTTTGCTGTTCAAACATATGAGGTGAATTCATTTATTAAGGCTGTTAGGTTACAGCTTATACAAACAAACAAAAAAGATTTACTGGAAGGCTCTGGGCTGACTCACAATCAGAAGAGCTGCACCAATAGGGCTTGGGACGACAGGAACAGGAGGAGTTGAGGAGGAGCTTGGCGATGTGGGCTTTGCTACAGCTCCGGCTCTCTTCTCAGTCTATGGCAGTACCATGGATGGTGCTGTCTAAACAGCCTTCCACCTCTGTGGGTTTTCACACCTGACCTGAATTCCAAGCAGAATTAACCTAACTGTGCTAAAACACAGTCACTATCCTTGGCTTTGCCTGGGGCAGATGCCCCAGTGGAGCAAGTTCACTGATGGTGGGGATAAAAGTGAGGAAAATGAATGGAGTAGACAAAAATATTAATTGCTTCACAAATAATATTATTATTCTCACTTTACAGAAGGAAAATCTGAGCTTCAGTGAGTTTAGAAACTTAGTAGCAAGCTGTAATGCCACGATTTATACCCAGTACTTCCCAACTGAGTTTATACCCTGAATTACTATCCTCATTTCATATCTATGATAAACACAAAAGGGAGATTGCAAGGCAGTTTCCCTATGAAGTTACTGGAAAGAACAGACTGTTTTGGCTTTTATTATCAGTATTCATAAATTTTACAGAAGATTGGGTTTCAAGTATATAAACTATTTTGATCATATCCAGACCCCCCCCCATATTTTTGTTTGTTGATGTTGTTGGTTTTATTGGAGGTGGTACTGGGGATTGAACCCAGGCAGCACTGAGCTACATGCCCAGCTTTTTTTCTTTTACTCTGAAAAACCATCTTGCTAATTTCCCCAGGCTGGCTCTGAACTTGTGATCCTCCTACCCTAGCCTCTGGGACAGCCGGGATTACAGGCATGTGCCACTGAGCCTAGCAAACTAAGTGTTTTGATGAATTGTGAGACCCAGGAAAGTATTTGTGCAGTGAGAACTTTCTCTGTTCATCCTGGGCAGGAATTGAGTGCTAAGCATGGGGGCACAGAGTCAAGAAAGACAGGCCTGTTTCATAGTTGCAGTGTGATTGCAAGAAGGCAAAACTCAGCAAGATTTGACTCAGTGGAATGGGCAGTGTAAGGGAGAGAGAGGCTTCCGCAAGGCTAGGTACAGCGACAATAGCGCTGCCCTCTGCCTTCATCTTTAGGTGCTTTTGCTTCTGAGTTAGCTTCACTTTCTTCCCAGCATCCGCAGCAGTTCTTTACAAGGGCCCTGGCTGGCTCGTGGTGCCCATTTCCAAACCAAAACACTGTACCAATCACTGTGTCCAGGGAAATGTCTTGCACATTTGGCCTGGCTCTCCTGATTCCTCCACCCACTCCTAATGGAGAGTAAGTGGAACACATGATTGGCGGACACACTGGGATAGCACAGAGGAGGCTAAAAGCATTTCCCAGAAACAAAATGGCTGTTCCAGAAAAAAGGAAGAAAAGCAGACAGGCAGAAAAAAGAAATTCAGATATACACAGATTTCTGCTTCCGTGACCTAGAGATTTCATCTTCTCAAAACTTTTTCTGTCTCTGCCAGCCATATTCAGCAGTAGTGGGAACTTCTCTTAGAGGAGATGTAAAAAGGTACACGAAATATCTTCTACAAGTCAGCTTGTTAAAACGTCTGAAGAGCTCATTTATACTACGTTTTCAAAGTGCAATCTACCAACCAATCTGCAAACTTGTTTGAAAGGCAAACTCTTACACTCTAGTGAATCAGAG